TGGACCCTTACTGGGTTCTTGTTAAGGGATTTAATTTAAGTTACCATAATAGGGATCTATAGTAAATAATATGGTTTCCTTATTATGGTAACTTAAATTAAATCCCTTAACAAGAACCCAGTATTTGGGTATATGGACCCTTACAAAAGTAGTTGGGCCACCAGGGGAAGTTTAAGGCCCTGCAGCCATCAACCCTAAACCCTAAACCTCAAGGTCATGCTGCTCGAGCCAGACCAGGACGTCTACGATCGCATGGTCAAGGAGATACAGGAGATTCTAGGGGCATGTTAGGGTTTAGGGTTTAGGGGGTTTAGGGTTTAGGGTCTAGGGTTTAGGGAGTATCTTAGGGTTTAGGGTTGGATTCAGGGCTAGAAGATACCGGGGCCTTGAAGAGTTTGTAGACTATCCTCTGATGTCCGTACATAGTTGTCAAACCCCTAAACCTCTAAACCCTAAACCCCTAAACCCCTACATCCCTAAACCCTAAACCCTAAACCCTAAACCCTAAACCCTTAAACCCTTAAACCCTACACCCCTAAGCCCTAACCCCTAAACCCTGTTTGAACCAGTAAGGCTCCCCCAATGTGACCAGGACCCGCCAGGGTGCCTTACACAAAAAGACAGCAGCCCACGAAAGTTTCCTTAACACTAAACCCTTGACCATAAACCCCGTTTAGGGTTTAGGGTTTAGGGTTTAGGGTTTAGGGTTTAGGGTTTAGGGTTTAGGGTTCCAATAGACCTTAAACCCTAAACCATAATAAACCCCAGAACCGCAACCCCAACAAACCCCAAACCCCAATAATCCCTGAGCCTTAAACCACAAAACCCCCAACACGCTAAGCCCAAAACCCCAATAATCCCTAAATCCTAAACCTTCATAATCCCCAACGCCAAAACCCTGAACCATAAGCCCGATATAACAGAATGGAATCCCAGCACTATTTCAATTTTTAGGGGCTTGCCCTAAACCCTAAACCCTAAACCCCAAAACCCCAAACCCCAAACCCCAAACCCTAAACCCTCAACCCTTGTAAACCCTAAACCCTAAACCTCTAAACCGCTAAACCCTAAACCTCTAAACCCCTAAACCCTAAACCCTAAACCTCTAAACCCCTAAACCCCTAAACCCCTAAACCCCTAAACCCCTAAACCCTAAACCCGAAGCCATGTTCCAGGATCCAAGCAACCCCGAGCATCTTGGCACCCTTGGGCCAGAGCCGGGGCCTGAACTGCTCAGGGTTTAGGGTTTAGGGTTTTAGGGTTTTAGGGTTTTAGGGTTTAGGGTTTAGGGTGTGGTGTTTTAGGGTTTAGGGTTTTAGGGTTTAGGGCTTAGGGTTTAGGGTTTTAGGGTCTAGGGTGTGGTGTTTTAGGGTTTGGGGCTTAGGGTTGAGGGTTTAGGGTTTAGGGTTCGGGGCTTGGGGTTTATAGAAATTGGTATGGGTTTGGGTGCCAATAACGTTTTGACCGAAAGTTTGAACGAAAGTTGTCTTTTTGGAACCATGTCTTGAATTTGGTGGGCTGGGGCTGGGCTGGGCGCGCTGGCGACCGGGCTGTCAAGCCTGTGCTACACGCGCGATAAGATCCGCCGTGGGTAGTTGAACCTCCACCTTTGGAAGCCTAGTATGCAGTTTGTGAAAGTCGCGTGCGCTCATAGTTCGGGGAGTCTGTCAACAGTAACCTGTCTGCTGTCACAAGGCCGGGCAGAGCAGCTACATTGGTCGCTTCGTGCGAGACTGCGAGTAGGTTGGCCCCGGATGAGGTATACATTGTCAAGTGTGGCGTTGCAATGGAAGGGACTGTGGTGGATGCCTGCCTGAGAAAGCAAAGCTCGTATTTTCTTGGTTGTGAGCCGTGAAGTTGTGGAAGGCGTGTGTGTGCGTGTGCAACTTCTGGAAAGATGCCTGGGAGTATGAGTGTGTGGAGACTGAGTTGCCACGGATGGGTACTCATGCATTGAATTCGAAGCACGCCCGATAGAATGCCACTAGGCGTCCTGTGGGCTCTATACAGTTGTTGCAGGCCTGGCGCTACCTGTGTTATACGGTTACGGATCTGCAGATGTTCAAAGCTGTGCTTCCACCACCCGGCATATCTCTGGCCGACAACTCCATCACCCATGGTGATGGTGGCTACGGAAATACCTTGATGGCAGGTCTCTCATCTTCTCTTTGGTTGGCAAAAGGGTATATTATTGATTATTATTGTATCCGACTTCTTGATCTGAACGTTCCATGACTGTTAAGTGGCGCGGAGTATCTGTATTTGTGACAGATGGAGACCTGGATGGAGACCTCGTCCAAGTGAGCTTCAACGGGAAGCTCATTTCCATCGTGGGAGGTACGCATGCAGCAGTCCAACGAATGAAGCCGTCTCTGCATCTTTTGGAAGCTGATGTCTTGGCCGGTGATGTCAGGCCCCGACTTGGGAAAGTGCAGTGGAAGACAGAGGCCGCTTTTTGTTACCAGGTGGCGGTGGCGGGTTGCGGTAGTGGCAGTTAAGCACCTTCCCTCTTCATGTATTTTGTTATCCTTCCTTCCGTCTCTCTGTCTCTCTCTTCTTGTTCTCCCTCTCTTTCTTTTCATTCGCTTTCTTTCTCTCTCTCTCTCTCTCCGTCTCTCTCTGTCTCTCTCTTTCTCTCTCGTTCTCTCATTCTCGCACAATCTCTCTCTTTCTCTCTCTCTCTCTCTCTCTCTCTCTCTCTCTCTCACCACCTGCATTTGGAGGCGCTCAGTCCCTGCTGCATGCGGCTCGGTCGAGCTCGTACAATGTACCGCGGTTTCATATGCGCGCTGCACGAACGGCTCCTGCATGCTGCGCTGGAAGCAGGTTCCGTGGCTGTTTTCAGGGGGTCGCGTGACGGAGAAGCTTGCAGAATACTTTGTGAAGGCGCGATCCACAAATCTATGAGAAGGCTCTGTTGTGGAGGCGAGGGGGGGGGAGTGTAGTATCCAGTCAACCGAGGTGAGATGGGGCCCGAATTGCGTGGATGTCTCCATTTCGCTTATGTGGGACACCACGTGCCCCTGCTGCGTTGTAAAGGAGTGGCTGTCGTCTAGCGTGCTGAGTTTCCTGCCATCTTGGTATTCGAGGCAAATATGGCAGACTGTCGAGTCACAAATCTCGTGCGCCAAGGTGATGGATGTGCCTAACAAGTGGGGCCGGACCGGAATTTCTCGAGCTCGCCAATGCAGTCATCAAGCGTTATAACCTGTCGAGGACAGATCATTTCAAACGCCTTCCAACCATGAGTCAGTTTTATGTCCCATGTTGCACTGTATGTGTCGAGGAAAGGACTTCGCGTGGCAGAGAGCCTTGTCCCGAACTTCCAGATGCTACTGGGGAACGCTCCACATGTTCGAGTGCTGGAATCCGAGCTTCATCAAACACGTCATCAAGGCGCACCTCAAGAGGAGCCGCCCGTCCTCCTGGCGCCGGCTCGCACGACCAGTTCTCGAGGAAGCAGCCATGAAGTCGAGACGCACCTCCCTGAGGATACGGTTCTTTGGTTTACTGCTGACAGTTGTTGCAAGAGCTGTTTTTTTCATGCGGGTGTTGCGTGGCATGGTTCAGATCCCACGAGGCTCAAGGTTGGCCATCCAGACGCCGTTCGGGATGTGGCGGACACACCAAATATAGCATGTTCTTCGTTTGCAACTTCATTTTGATTGTGGGACTGGGCTGTTGGGCCGGGCTGAGGCCGTAGCTGTGGTTACAAAGAAAGACAAACAGTTTCTATTTATCACTTTCTTGAGAGTTTAGGGTTTAGGGTTTTGGGCTAATTAGGGTTTAGGGTTTAGGGCTTGGGGTTAGGGTGTAGGGTGTAGGGTTTATACGGGTTTAGGGTTTAGGGTTTCTAAGGGTTCAAGGTTTAGGGTTTTGGGCTAATTAGGATGACCATCGTTGTTGTTATTGGTATTTTCATGTTTATGTACAGTGCTATTGTGGGTGTTTTTAGTTACAAGTATGAATAAGACTATCACGGGTACTGATATTATTAGTATGCTTTGTTATTGATAGTTTTCTTCTTCTGATTACTACATGCTATGATTGTTGTCATTACGATTAGAGTAGGCATTGCTGAGCATTGTCGTTCGGAGGTTCGGGATGTATGGCCCTAAACCCTGAACCCTAAAACTTAACCCCTAAACCCTAAACCCTAAACCCTGACCCCCAAAGCCCTAAACCCTAAGAATCAAATTTCAAAGTTGCAAAGCCTGGGGTCTCCCCACTTCTTCCAAACTTGTTGAATTGAAGAGCGGGCTTAGGGTTTAGGGCTTGAGGGTTCATTTATGGCTTTAGGGGCTTAGGGTTTAGGGACTAATCGAATGCACCTTAAGTTATATGATAGGACCCTGAATATGATGTAAGGATTCCGCTTCTGTTTTAACTTAAGTAAACCATACTGGGGATCCACTTGCATCTTAGGGTGTGTTCTTCAATTTCGGACTTTGCAAGATCTGGGGTCCTGGACGAAAGCAGGGTCCTGTTTCGACTTCAGGGCTTTAGGGCTTCGGTTTAGGGTTTATAAGGTTCTGACATTAATTAGGTATAGTCTTATGAACTTATAGCTTTGAATAGGCACGATGGTTTGCATGGGGTGTACGTGCTTTCGGCTTCTACGCTGACTATTTGTGTTTACGGGTCGAGTCTATGTGGGTGTTGGATTGGGCATTGTATCTAAAGTCCCGGATCCCAAACCCACCTTGAGCCCCATAGCCCCTAAACCCCGTGAGCCCTTCAACAGTTGAATCCCTGAACCTAAGGCAAGACTACCTGGCTCGTTTTTACAGCACCTTCGGCTGCGGTTCGTGGACCCATTTGCATGCCAAGCTACAGCCTCGGCAAATTCCGCAAGACAAATTCACCGAAAATGATTGCAGATAGGCTTCAGAGTTGAGAGTTTAGAGTTTCGAGTTGTTGATTGGGGTTGAATTTGAGTTCAGGGCTTCGGGTTCAAGGTTCAGGGTTTTTAAGGTCAGGGTTTAAGGTTCAGGTTTTATTGGTTTCCTACTGTTCCGGGAATTGACTGCTTTAGGCCGCTGTTCCTCCGCGAGTCTGACAAGTCAGCATAGTCTTGGTGCCCTGCTGCCTATCAGACACCTAAGTTAAGACTTGTGCCCAAAGTCGACAAATGTAATTTCCAAGACCCCCAAACCCTAAACCCCTAAACTCAAAGGCAGCATCTAACACGACATCGCTTCATGTTCTACGAATTTGCAGAAGTGCTACGAGGCGCTTTTGGTGGGGCAACGCCACCCCCGATGTATTCGCGCAAAAGCTACGGTTTCATTGGGCAGACGAGCGGAACTGCCACACGTTGTCGACCGCTGCTGCGTACTCTGGTCTTATGGTTTATGCTTTAGGGTCAGTGGGATTGCCATTGCATCTGCTGCATTATGATTACACATGACAGTCACCGCAAAGATAGTTAATGACCCAGAACAATATGGTTGTTCATTGAGGTTGTTGGCTGCGTTTGTACGTAGGTCTGCTTTTTTATGATGATGTTGCTGATGATGATGATGATGACATGATGATGATGATGACGATGATGATGATGATGATGTCGACGATGATGATGATGATGATGGTGATGATGATGATGATGATGATGATGTTGACAGTGATTTCATTGTTGTTGTTGATGATGGTGATGTCGACGATGATGGTGATGATGATGACGGTGATGATGATGACGGTGATGATGATGATGATGATGGCGTTGATGACGGTGATGATGAGGATGATGAGGATGACGATGAGGATGACGATGACGATGACGATGACGATGACGATGATGATGATGATGATGACGATGGTCTGCTTGCTACAGCAAAAGTCTGCCCTGCAAACGGCAAATCCCTGCGTGGGCATCTGCAGGTCCAGGATGGCCATACACGAATACCCATACGCCCCATGGTAGTTCCTTTTTAGGGTTCATATTTAGAATCCTATAAGGTAATCCCAAAAAGGAACTATCATGGGGCCTATGGGTATAGTAATCCCTAAACTTCCTAGACCTTGAACACACTCGAACACGAAGACTCAGCCCCCAATATTTGAAACTTGCACAGCCCTGTTTCCAAGCCTAAACCTACAGCAAAGTTTAGGATGATGAGTGCGCGTATTCTCTCTACTGTTCCAAATTTCTAGTCTCTACTTCGTTCGCGCAGCGTAACATACCCCAGCCTCGAGTAAAGTTATGCCTCAAGCTTCCGTCCGACACCACGAACCTCCCACAGCACAGACGCAGCAAGAGGAAGAACGGTCGCTCAAAAAGCAAGCAGTAATAGTACTAGTAATATAATGAATGATACGAACAATGATAATACGGACAGTATTCAAAGGTAACAATACGAATATTATGCATTGTCACTGTAAACGACCCGCCTAGGTTTAACTACCAGCCGAACCTGCCCAACGACTACATCGGTTCAGCCCACCGGGCCCTGGACGTTCGGCACTTGGCGTTTTGGGACCCAGGGCTTCGGATCAAAGCTTTGACGAGGTTGTGCCTTGCCTCAAAGCCTGATTTCAATCCTGCTGAACGAGGTCGGTTCATCACTGGTTTGCAGTGGGGGCTTAGGATTAATAGGGCCACCTAGCTTTTTCGGTCGCATTTGGGTGTCTAGGACTTTGGTGTTTAGAAGCCCAAAACCCAAACACTCAGCTGCAGACATCCGCAGACCAACAGCTGAGTGATGACTTGTTAATCATGCACATAAAGAAAACGTAGCAACAGGACGTAGCACTAGCAAAAGGTATGATTACGCGAGCTGGCGAAGCATCGCAAATAAAGGCATCGGCTTGCCGCTTTGATTTGTTTCTATACACATGCAATGCAATCGGAATGGGTGTTATTTTGTTCACAACTTCGGGATGTCTTACAAGAGCGGTTTAGGGTTCCTTTCAGGGATCTACAAGGTTTAGGTGGGTTTGGGGTGTTGTTGCGCTCGTGAGATGGAGCCCCGGCATGCGAGCAATTGAATACGCGACCAATTCTGCGCAGAATTATGCCATCTGAGGTTGTCGAGGACGTGGTCGTTGCGCACTTCAGTGGAGGGAGGGTGCAGAACTTGGACCAGGGTTGACATTCGCAGTGTTCAGGCATTGTGTTGCAGTCTCAACTAACTAAGCATAGACGAGATCCGGACATATCACATGCAGCCCACTTCCGGTTGCTGCATGCATTTCTGAGAGCATCCGTAGCAAGATACATGTCATCGAATTCAAGCAGCAAGCTTACTTTCTAGGCTCGAATGCAGGGGCCAAAGCCATTCCCAATAATATTCCTTGGGGTTTGTCGGTTGGGTTGTTCTGAAAATACAAACAAGCAAAAACATAAACAATCGCATAATAAATAAATATATACATATATGTAGAGCCCCAAACCCCGTTCTAATTAAAACAGGCCTGTATCATAGCCTTATAGATACCTTCAAAGGAGTACTTAAACCGAACATTTTTAGCGAAGCCAAGGTCAGCCAAGGTCTGGCAGACTGGAGAAACATGACGGGGCAAGGATCTACGGATTAGGGTTTAGGGTTACTGTAGGGGCTTTAATAATTACCTATACTATTTTGGGGGCTGCTTATTATAATCATAGTAAATATAAGGAGCCCCAAAACCCTATTCTAATTGTTAGGCACCTATATTACCCATGGGCTCCATTGTAGTTCCTGTTTGTGGTTTACATTTAGGATCCTATAAGGTAATCCCAACAAGGAACTACTATGGAGCCCATGGGTAGAGCAGAGAAAGCGGGGCTACACTCAACGTGGCTTTTTTTCTTGCACGGAACCCTGAACCCTAGACCGCTCAGAATCCCAAACTCGCCCTAAACCCTCAACTCTTGAGATGCCTCAGCAAAAACCCAGACCCGAAGCCTTAACCCCAAACTCGAAACTCTAAGCCGAAACCCCCAAACCCGAAACCCTGAACCCCAAACCCCCAAACCCCTAAACCCTACACCCCAAAACCCGAAACCCTAAACCCCTAAACCCTACACCCCAAACCCGAAACCCTGGACCCCTGAACCCGAAACTCTAAAGTTGCATACTTCGTGCCGAGCCCTCAGTACCGCAACCCGAAGCTGAACCCCTAATCTAGAGGCTTTGAACATATCCTGTACTGTTTAGGGGCCCCTTATTGTGGTTATAGTATGATCTACTTCATTACCTATACTCTTTTCGGGGGCTTCCTATTATAGTTCCTATTCTAGTTTGTAAGGCCCCTTGTCTTATAAAACCCTTATAGAAGCCCTTATAGAACCCTTTTAAAGGAGCCCTTAAAGGAACCCCCGAAACCCTTATTCTAACTATTAAGGCCCCTACATTAACCCTGAACTTCCTGAACTCTCCGAACCCCAAAACCCTAGACCCTAGACCCCTAAACCTTAAACCCTATTCTAACTATTAAGGCACCCTTTTTTACGCTTCTGCCAGGTAAAGCCCTGGAAAGTGCCCGGGCTAAGACTCGACGCTCGCGCCCCAAGGTTTAGGCTTCGGAGGAGCATCGCTTTTTGTAGGACTTTGTAGGGGTTTCTGTAGGATTTTGTAGTGGTTTTAGGGTTTGAGTAGGGTTTTTAGGGTGTAGGGCCACCACATTGCAGGTTTTGTTTTGGCAGTTGTCTTCATTTTTTGCTGGTTGTGGAGGTTGTGCTTGAGATAACGGGCCCCAACATCCTTTCGACATTGGATGCCGATTAAAAAACCAAAACAAGTCTAAACTCTTCGCCCCAGGGTAATATAGGGGCCTTACAAATTAGAATAGGGTTTAGGGGCCCATTATACTATAATAACTATAATAAGGAACTCCCCAAATAGTATTGGTAATTATTTAGGCCCCTACATTACCCAAAGGGTCCTAGGTACTGTTATGGCGGATACTTCCGCAAAATCCTAATCGTAACTCCTAATATATAGAAACCCTACATTCTACTACATGGGTACTAAACCCTAAACCCTAAACCCTTTGGGTTAGGCAGGGGTCTAGTGGTTTGGGGTTCCCCTGTCTCAAGGCCAGTGGCGTCAGACGCCTGGTCGAGGCCGTGCTTGGTTTGGGGCGGTGAGGGTTCCTTTAAGGGCTGCCTTAACGGTTCCTTTAAGGGCTTCTTTAAGGGTTCCTTTAAGGTCTCCTTTAAGGGTTCCTTTAAGGGCTGTTTTAAGGGTTCCTTTAAGGGCTCCTTTAAGGGTTCCTGTAAGGGGTCCTTAGCAAGTGCCTGTAAGGGTTCAGGGTTCACCCTAACCCTCCAGGTACCGACTATATGGGGTAGGAGATCTAGTACCCCATTATAGTAGGTAATGGCGGGGGTTGGGATTTGGGGTTAAGGGTTCCATTCAGGGCGCTAGGGTTCTATAACGGTCCAAGGACTAACGGCTGCGGTTTAGAGCTGTATAGTGATCTAGGGCTTATAGGGTTTAGGGTTTCGGGATTTGGGGTTTACATGGTCATCGAGTCTTTTGAGTTTTGGAGTTTCCAAAAGCGTCAGGAGGTGAGACGAGTTTAGGACAGCAGGTTTGTTGCATAGTCGTTTGCTTACACAGCTACAGGTGCCAAGGGCCCTGTAACAGTTTCCACAAGTCCAAACCCTTAGAGACCCAAGAGGGGCCACAAGTAAACCTACTATGGATTTAGGTCCTAGAACCATGGGTAGGAAAGGTTTTTCGGGGCCGACTTCCATAATGGTAGACCGTAGACCCGTAACCCCATGCCCTAAACCCCAAGCCCCAAGCCCTAAGCCCTCGTATAGTTGGATATCTGCAGGACATGTATCCTTACCTAAAAACTACACCCTAAACCCTAAGCCCCCTAAACCCTACACCCTAAACCCTAAACCCTAAGCTTAAGGAAGCCCCGAAGGTCGAAATCCCAAACTCTGGATCTTAACCCTAAACCCTAAACCCTAAACCCTAAACCCTAAACCCCTTATACCCCTGTACCCTTCTGGCCGCCGAGCCCCTGAGGACGATGCCCTCGAGGAGCAGATGGGGGCCCAGGCTTCGTAGGGGTTGTAAGGGTGCTATAAGGGTTCTATAAGGTTGTAAGGGTGTTATTATAAGGGTTCTATAAGGTTGTAAGGGTTGTAAGGTTGCGATAAGGTTGTAAGGGTGCTATACGGGCTGCTATCAGGTTGTGAGGGTGCTATAATGGTTGTCATAAGGTTGTGAGGGTGCTAGAAGGGCTCTTACAAGGCTGTAAGGATGTGAAAAGGATTACTATCAGGCTGTGAGGGTGCCATAAAGGTTGTTATAGGGTTGTAAGACTGCTATAAGGATTGCTGTTAGGATGTAAGGGTGCTATAAGGATTGCTACAAGACTGAGCTTGACTCTCGCAACAGCGGATTCAGAGTTGGATCTGGCTTTGTGGCAGGAGGGTTTAGGGTTTAGGGTCTAGGGCTTATGCTGATAGTCCGAATCATAGCCAAATCAGCCGCGGCAGGAGGAGAGTAAGCAGAACGGCATGCGAGTATGACTGGGGGCCGAAACCGAACTCCAGGGAACGCAAACACACCTTACAAACTCCACAGTGCGAACATCCCTGTCGTCATCATCGTCCTCCTCCTCCTCCTCCACCTTCGCCTCATCATCGTCGTCCTGATCCTCATCTCCATCATCATCCTCAACGTCACTGTCATCATCATTATCATCATCATCATCTTCATCCTCATCATCAGCATCATCATCATCACCATCATCATCACCACCACTGTCGCCATCACAATCACCATCATCATCGTTACAATCGCCGCTGCTGTCTTCATAAGCAGATGCAGCAGTCATCATATTATCACTATCGTCATCGTCATCGTCATCTTTATCATCGTCGTCACCAGCGCCACGAGGTGCATCATCGTCATCATCGCTTGAAGTTTAGCACAACCTTCATCTACAATACGAGCCACAATAAGCCACCAAGCATCGTCAATCAGGGCACACCCCACCATCAGAACCACATGCAGGGCGATGACAGCAAACAGAAGCAAGCATCAACAAAGCCATCCGAGCCATGCGCCAAACAAGAAAACTGACAGAATCACAACAGCAGGCCAATAATTGAAGCTTAAAGTGAGGGTAAGAAGTTCGCGTGATGTTTTGTAAGGACGAAGTCAGTGTTTAACACCGTCTGAGGACGTCCTCAAATAATTGTCAACATGCTTTCTGTTTTTCACAAGATAAGGTCTCTTCTTCATCGTCTGTACTCTCAGTACTGTCGTCTTTGCCGACGTCGCACCACCAACACTGGCAACTGCAACAACAGCAGCAACAACAACAGCAGCGGCAGCAGCAGAATCAGCAGTGGTACCACCCTCATCAGGGGATTTATCCAGGTGTTGTGGCGTTCGCTGTTGGATGATGCACGACTAGTTCTGGGTTGTTATCTCTGTCTTTTCAACACGGCTGAGCATCACTCGGGCTGTCAGGCCAGAGCAGCATTGCTTTGTTACCCGGGTCTCAACTGTCTCAACAACATATCTCCATGATCCCGATACATACGCATAGTGGCGTGAATCTTCAACACTCTTACGAAGCTCTAATTTAGACGAAGTTCCCAATTCAAGCCAGAAAGCCAACGTAATTAGGCTCCTTTGATTAAAGCCCATTCTGCCAAACACCACAACCTTAAACCCATTCCCGACAGCCCTAACCCAGAGCCCGAAACCCGAAAGCCTAAACCGTAGAATGAGATCCTAAACGGATCGTTAGTTTTCGGTTCCATATAATAAGGCCTCATGAAGAAGTTCTATAAAAGGGTTCGGACAGCAAATAGGTCCCTCGCTCATCCGGGGTCATGGTTATGGATGGTGTCCTGCTCTCGGCCCGTAGCAGGAACCAGGATTGAGAGTGTTCCTGTTTTAGAACTTTGTTGGGGGAGTCTTTGGAAGCTCTGCTTAGCGTGGTTCTTTCGGGTTTGGGTATTTGGGTTAAGGGTTCAGGGTTTAACCTACTGTAGTGTTCCTTGCAGGGTTCTTCGAAAATTCACAAAACTCTTAAACTTGTTTTCTCTACGAGGGTGCTGGAATAGTTAGTGTTCCTCATTAAATTCTAGCCTAAAGGAGATGCGTGGGTTTCAGGGAACCAGGTGTAGGATTGTATTTCACAGGGATTCCAAAGCGGTACCCGAAGGTGTGTGGAGTTGCAAGGAGTTATGAAGTTGCGAGTCTGGTTTAGGATGCCGGGTTTACCAGGACCCCCCAAGGGCCCTTTAACAAAGCCCTTATGGCCTTTAACAGTGGGTATTTAGGGTATATTAGAGGGTAGTTGCGGGTCTAGGTAGGGTTTAGGGTTTAAAAGGTTTAGGGTTTAGGGGTCTCTTGATACTTGGAGCAGAATGCCATACTTGGCAGAATACTACACAAAAGTCTTCTGAGGCCCGCACGTGAAGGATTTGGACACTGCTTTGCAGGGGGTTTGTTTGCTCCGTTTCGCACAGCGATCACGCGCGCGCTTTCCGGAGCGTCATTGTCGAAAGAATAGGTCCTTTGGGATAACCTTTTGGATCCCTTAGACCTCGAACCCCAAACCCCTAGATGAGGACAAATCCTAAACCCCAAACCCTATAAACCCCCAAACCCCTAAACCCTAAACTCATCGTAAAGGTCCGAGCGGTGATGCACCATAGACCCCAAGCCAGTAAAGCCCTAACAAGACCTTCTTTGAAAAGCGTAAGCCGGTTTAGGGTTTAGGGGTTTNNTTTAGGGTTTAGGTTTAGAGTTAAGGACCCCTTAGGACCCTGTATGTGATGGCGAGCCCTGAACCCTAAACGCCCGAAGCCCTGAAGCCTGAGTCCTGGACCCCATACCCTAAGCCTTAAGCCCCGAACCCTAAACCATAAAATCCTAAAAACCTGGACACAAAAACCCGAAAAGATTAAGCCTCCCTTAAGGACATCTAAGAACCCGATACCCTAAACCCGAAGCTAAGCCCTTAAGACAGTGTGCTAGGTCGAGGTTCCAGCCGGCGACCGCAACACACCGCTGCCACAGCCCGTGCGTCGGGTCATGTGGGTGCCGCGCTAAGGGCCTGTTTGGGGTCTCTAGGGGCTTAGGGTTTATAGGGTTTA